AGCCCCACACTTTAATCTCTCCCATTTCCATTTCTCACAGTTGGGTCATTTCAAAGGACTCTGTATACCAGGCCCATGCATTCCCATGTCCTAGTGGTATGTCAGGCCTGAAATGGGCTCTTCCACACCAACTCTCTTTATTCTGACATTTCTGGTAGTTTTGAGTGACTGCTACACCTCCTCATGGCTCTTTACTGTGGAAATAAAGGGAAGCAGGAGAAGGGTGAAGAAACATCTCTGACTTATGCTTCTATAACTTCTAGAACTACTACCCTGAGGTTGGTCAAGTCAGTATTTGTCCAGGATAGGGGTCCTGTATATGCCTAGTTCCTCCCCAGGAACTTCGAAGCCCTCTGAGCAAGGTTGCATGGCACCATTATTTGCTCACCGAAAGGAAGTGAAGGAGCAAGCTGGAAATGAGAGGTCCTGGAAAATAAAGAGATTTTGGAGAAAAAGAAGAAACAAATGGAAGTCCAGCCAGCAAAAGACTCTGTGAGGATAGTTTCTTTCTTTCTTTTTTTTTTTTCCTTTTTGTCTTTTTTTCGTGACCAGCAACGGATTGCAACCCTCAGTGTCGCACCCGTACTGGACCAGGACCGGCAACGGGATCGCAACCCTCGGTGTTGCACCCGCACCTTGCTCAGCCAGTGAGCTGCCGGTCTGTATGTGGGATCCGAACCCTCGGCGGGAGTGCCACCGCGCTCCCAAGCGGGGCACTGTAGCAGTGCGCCACCGGGCCAGCCCCATGAGGATAGTTTCTGTATTCTATCCTTCCTGGGTCCTATTACCCTGGATCTCAATTTCCTTGAATGTTTTCTAGCTTCATCAAGTTAAGTTTCTTAACGAATAAGTGTTTTTATCTTTTTACACTCCCCAGCAGCCCAGCAGACCCTGCCACTGTGATAGCTAGTTAAGGAATAGAACAAATTTTTCTGAGACCAGGAGGTTCAAATGGATCTGGAAGGGTGGTCTTTCCGAGGGTCCAAGGTTCCTGCCCCAATTCTGACAGTGTTGGGCTTTCCAGGAGACTTGAACACCTCTCTGTTGGGTTTCATAGCAATCCCTAGCCCAGTGCAGCCCATGACTGTCTAACCTTGTTGAGAGGTAGGGAAACTGTGGCTTTGCTTTCCTCTCACTGCAAGGAAACCTGACTGCATCACACAGGGCACCACTTGTGGATGGGAAAGACTCCCTATTTGAGCCTGCAGTAGAAAGGCAGAGGGCAGAGTGAAGGCCAGGCTCTGGGTGGGAGGTGACAGGGTGAGGAGTGTTGCAGATTAAGATGACAAATGCCAGAATCTAGTAGCAGTGGTCTGAATATTCTCCACCGGAGTACTGGAAAACAGAGAGATTCCAGCAAGGGGAGAAGGTCATCCTGGCCTCACAAATATGGCCAAACCTTATTCTCATGAAGAATGGGAGAGTATGGAGAAGATCTGGATTAGGGTAAATAAGCCATCTTTATAAGTACAGCCACCACTGGCACCATGCAGTATAGGCCTACATATTGTTGGGACTGGTAGTTGAAGTTCTGAGTGGAAGATCAGGAAGGAACGGTCCAAGCCCCTGACGGAGTCCAATGGAGGGGGAAAGCCTACCCAGGAGAAAGCAGGAAGCCAGCATTTGGACTCTATAGCCCCCATCCTATTCACAGTGCCTTGTGGATATCTTCTGAACGTAGCACTTTATAGACAACCCAGTAGAAGATATTGAAGATGAGGAAAGTGAAAGGAAAGACAGCCCGGGAGATGGTGTCAATTCTCTTGGCTCGGTCCACGTAGAGTTTCCGCATGGTTTCTCCCTCCCTTAGAAGAGGGGTTGGAGGTTGGGAGCTATAAATGCCAGGTCCTTCCATTGGACCTCCATCCCTTGCCTGGAGGCAGTGGCCCAAGCCATAGCCACGGAAATAGAAACGACTTTCTCGGATGATATCTTCCTCCTGGAATTACAAGAAGAAAAGGGCGGAATTTGAGGTCAAAGCTCTAAGGTGGAGGGATAGAGATCAGGCCACACATAAATATCTCATAGTGATGCTATGCAGATAAGGTAGCTGAGTACACAGACCCATTGCCTGCTTTTCTGTGGCCACAAAACTACTCATAAGATAGACGTATGCTAAGCAGCTATATGTGGTTCATGGCATATGTTATGATTCCAATTTCAGTTAGGCCCTGAGCTGCCTTTTTAAAACACATAACATCATTTAAAGCCATCTAAAACCCAGTGAAGTGCCAACCACTGTGAGAGGGCACCTGAATGTCGAGTTATCTGGGACTGATAATAAACAACAACGAAAGCATTAGACAGTGAAGCTGAGATAGTTAGACTTGGTAAACTTGACCTTAATGACTTCCAAAAGCTTCAGAATTAGTTCTCCTTGTATATAATATCTTTTAAAAATTATCTCACTTCAAAGCTAAAAATTCCATGGGCCGAGCCCGTGGCGCACTCGGGAGAGTGCGGCGCTGGGAGCGCAGCAGTGCTTCTGCGGCGGGTTCGGATCCTATATAAGGATGACCGGTGCGCTCACAGCGCTCACTGGCTGAGCGTGGTGTGGCCGGTCTCAAAAAAGGACAAAAAAAAAAAAAAGCTAAAAATTCCAAAAGTTTTAAATAACCTAATAAGTTAATCAAGTTAGAATAAAGCTGATTCCTCTATTGCAGGTATGGGGGCTTCTCTGCAAATCAGCAGATTTGACATAGGGGTCAGAACATTCAATTTATTACCCAATTATTACCCAATGCACATTCTGCTCATGTACAATACATGCAGTATGATAAACACATTAACATTGAGGAGGTAATTATTACATAAGTACTAAGTAATGTGGCAGACTGCAGAAAATCCATTCATCTAATAGTCAGCTAACAACCTTTAGTAGCTATAACATAGTTGAGAGCCAGGAAGTAAGGACAGAAAGACAGAGATATCAAGGTAAAAGATAAAAGATTATATATATGTGTGTATGTATACATATATATAGAGAGAGAGAGAGAGAGAGTGAGAGAACCAAAGCCCCTTATTGATCAGTAGAGCTCTATTTATATGAGGCCCCCAGGCCTCCACTCAGAGCCTATTTACTCTTATTTTATCAACAAACCAAACAATTCTAATTTTATCTGCTTCTAAAGGACAGAGTTGAAAGAAATACTTCCTTCAAAGTTGGTTATAATTTTTAAGAGTATTGATAGCTTTGAAGCAAACTCTTCAGCTATCTAAGAAATCACCTGAAGTGAAATTCCCCTTTGTAAGATGATGCTAAATACCACCTCACTTTGCCCAGGAAAAAGGGATTCCTGGGGACTTTTCAGTGCTGAAACTGGGGAAGTCCAAGGCAAACCAGGAAGAGATAGCCACCTTATAGCTGCCTGAGGCATTTACTACAAATTATAAGAACAAGATAGATGTATATCATGTAGATATGACATAAATATATATAAAATGTAGATAAAGTATATTTATTTGGCATCTGGCCGGTACCAGGATCCGAACCCTTAGACCTTAGTGTTATAATGCTGCACTCTATCCAACTGAGCTAACTGGCCAGCCTGATAAAGTATGTTTTAAACATACTCTGTAGTTAGAGGGACATTATAGGATCTTTATAATGGGACCTCTGCAGCTATGGTAACACATTGAAAAGTGGCTTCTAGATGAGACATTGGTGTGGTAGGTCCTGGTATCCCCTGATTATTACATCTCTAGAAGCTGACCTGTCATCATAAGAGCAGGTCTGTTACTGGGCATGAGGAGCAGGCAAGCTCAGGCTGGAGATTCGCCAACAGATTCCATTTCTTTCTCTGCTGCCTGTGAGCTCATAATAAAAACTTGCTGTGCCCCGGTGCCTAACACTGTGCCTGGAACCTAACAGGCACTCAGTAGATATCTGTTGAATGAATGAACAGATGGATGAGCCACATGCTTCAGAATAAAGGGAAGGGAATGGCTTTTTGTTCTTGTGAAGCCAGTATCCTCTCAGGGTCTCAAACTGAAGAGAATCTTATTCAAAGTGCATGGCAGGAAAAACAATTACTCCTTGCCCTGCTCTGCACAATGGCCTGATGCCCTTTGTCTCTGGAAAGAGAGTGGCACTTTTGGTATAGGAAAGAACTGCTCTAAAGTCTGCCCACCAGGGAGCTTTGCTGCGCAATTCTTGATTTTGCGAGTCTCTGTGGAGAGAATTGTACACATGTAGGCCAGAGGCAACTCACTAGCGTGGTTGTACATTGACCAAGTTGTAGTGGGGCAGCCTCAGCTCTTTGCTCAAGGTTATTTCCATAGCCTCATTCATCAAAGGCCTTGGCTTACCATACATGTATTCTCTAATTCATTTTAATACTATTCTTACAGGGGAGTTTGTGCTGGACCTATTTTAGAGATGTAGAACGAGAGGCAAACAAAGTATCTTCCAAAGACTTCAGAAATGATGGGGGTAAGTAAAATGATTTCATTCCTTGATTTTCAGTTCAGGCTCCCTCAGACCACCCTTTTCCTTATTGTTCACCCTCATCCCCTCACTCCCACAGCTAGAAGATACAATCATGGAATATACGTGTTTGCAAAAAAGCTCTGAAGGAGAAAGTTGGATCCAACTGCTATTTCTGTTTCTATATATCCAATTATTTCCCCTTTTCTCCAATTACAGTAAATCTAAAGGGAATTATTTAGAAATATTTCCTAGGCTGGAAACTGCCATTTCACATGAGAGAGAAAACAGCCAATAGAGTAAGCTGCACTTGGCTCTTTTTGAGTTTAACATACTGTACCTCTTGTAGTTGTGGGGAGCAAAGATAATTAACCTGAAATTTGAGGGTGGGGTATCCTGGATTTGGATATTATCTATTTAGGCCAAATTCTGAGGGATGTGTTTGTGCATGTGTGTGTGCACGTGAGTGTGTGTGTGTGATGGGGAGGAATAATGGAATCTTAAATACCATTTTATGGCTTCCATGATCATTAAAATAGAACTTTTTTTTCAGTGATCTATAGAGGAGGAGGAGCTAGAGAGGGAAGATATTCCAAAACCAAGCTGGGGAGGGAGTGCATACTGCAGGAGGTGAGGTGTGGAGGTGGGAAAGAGTGATACATACTGAAGTGAGAGAGGCTGACAGACAAGAGATTAGAGAATGGGGGCAGGATGCTAGAGGATGGAGAGAGGTAAGCAGGGTTTTGGGACCAAGCCTCTGAGAGGATTTGGCAATATTTTGAAATTTCTTCCAGTTCTTAAGTTATTCTATTGATAGTGGCAAGGCTTTCTCTCCAGTCTGAGAGCAAAAACCCTTGTCAATCAGCCTGCAAAAGTTGGTGGGCTGGGTTACATGGCTGCTGTGTCCAGAGCCTGGTGCTAGGACCTGCTGAGGTGATAAAGAGCCTCATTTTTCCCTGTGAAGCTTATAGACTAGCTGGGAAAACAAAGCAGAAGTGCATGGGAAAAACATTAAACTACTTTAGACAGTGACATGGAAGGAGACCACCACGTGGTGAAGATGAGTGGTTGAGGAGAGATTAGAGAAGAAAAGGATTAAGCCGAGAGCTGGCTAAACAGCTGGCTGGCTCCTAGAATAATCCGTACTTGCTCTTGGCTAAGAGCTTCCTGAAAATTGTGTGGATTTCCCTCCTCCCTCAATAGGGCTCTTCTCAGACTGAAAACTTCTGCTTTTCTAACTGGAACAGTAGGGTCCAGAGAGAAGTTCTAGAAATTGCCTAACTTTCCATCAACTTTTTCAGTCTGCTTGGTGCCTCCAGGAGTCCTGCTACAGTTCCACTGGGATGGCGATGGCTTTAGGAGACTCAAAAAGGGACATGATTAATGGCACAGGTTTGATTTTCAGATTTAATTCACATTAATAATAAACCTCAGTCCACTTTCAGGCAGTCTCCAGGGTCCTAAGCAGGACCCAGGCTGCTGTTATAACTTTGAAATAATTGAGCATTGGTTCTGACAAAGTCCATTATGAGCTCAGGATCAACCTACATATGAGCAGGAAGACAGGCTGTGGGCTGTTGGGGGTAGGGGTGGTACAGGGAAGGAGGAGGGACTAGTGTCAACCTGGAGTAGCTCTACAGTAATTGTGGCAGCCTTTTGTTGCTGAAATATCTACAGAGGCAATTTAGCTGGTAAAAGGACTTTGGACTGGTTGGCAGCCTGCTCTTCTTTTCCAAGGTAGGCATGGAGAAGGCATCAAGATCAAAATCCCTATGAAGCTAAGATTTTGGTGCCTGAAGGTAGGTGTGACACAGCTAAAGAAGGGGTGAGGGCAGTTAGCTTAGAAAAAAGAGCATCCATTACCTTTTTTCTTGCCCTTCTGCCAAGTTTATATATATTTCTCTAACCCTGGTATGGGACAGGAAAGGCTTTTAAGTCTCTTGAATGAATGAGCCCTACTCAAGAAAATGCAGTTGTGGATCAATCCACTAGAGGGCATACATCCCAGGGCCCAACTAAAGGACTAAAGCGAGACAAGAATTGATAAATTTAGACAAACCATTAGACAAACCACTAGAAGAGACAGGAGCCTGTCCTCAGCAGAAAGGGACCTTAGCAAGGAACGTGAAACCATGGGGATAGTTTGTGAGATACTTTTAGTGAGGACATATGGTAGGGGTGCCCCAGGAGCAGCGCGAGGGGGAGGTAAGGTGTTAGGAAGAGGGAGGAGTCCTTGTGCTAGTATGACAGAGACAGGTTAGAGCCAGGATTTTAACAGTGGGTTCAAATCATTGTTTCCTATACTCCCAGAGATCATTACGTGCTTGTTCTTTGGCTTTGGAGCCTTGGATTAGGCAGAAAACATAAATGCTGTGCACTGATTGAATTGTGTCCCCCAAAGTTCATCTATAAGAAGCTTAATTCCCACCATAACTGTTGAGGGTGGGAAATCCCATTATGGTAATTGAAGGGGGGGGCGTTTAAGAGATGATTAGATTATAGGACCATGCCATAGTGAATGGATTAATAATGGTGGTCAGGGGTGCGATACTGAGGGCTTTAGAAGGAGAGCACATGAGAGTCTCTCTGCTCTGCCATTTCACAATGTGATAGAAGTCACCACCAGAGAAAGCCTTCACCAGATGTATTCCCTAGACTTTGGACTTCCCAGCCTCTGAAACTGTAAGCAATAAATTTTGTTTTCTTATAAATTACCCAGTTCTGTGTAGTTTGTTATAAGCAACAGAAATGGACTGATACAGAAAATTAGAGTCAGAGCACAAGACAGACCAGAATTTTGTGTCTCTGGTGATTAAGCAACCAGAATGTAGCTCAGCAAAAGCTTTTAGCTTTGCTCATAATTGGACACTTGCTTCTGTGAGGGTGGACAAGGCACCTCTGTTGTCATGACAACTTACCTAGCACCTACTGCCTGGGCAATTGGGGGTAAACTGCCTCTGTTGTCATGACGACAAGATTCCTTTTATATTTTCTTAGGTGATCACTCTACTGTAGAAGAAATGGGGTTAACAAACAAGAGTGAGGGAGTACAACAGCTCAAGCCCAGCAACTCTGATGCACCCAATGAAGATCAAGGAGAAGAAACCCAGCGGCCAGAAGAGGCAAGTACTGCTTTTTTAATTCCAACTTAGTTATGAGTACCCTTTGATAGTGCTCCCCTAGAAAGGTACCAACACCTGACTTTTGAATTCTTAACCACCACTTAGTGCATAACAACCTGGGGTACTTCCTCATGGGTTGGGGGAGAGCCAGAAGCGACCATTCCTACTTCTCAAGGCAATCTCCTATTAACAAACTTGATAAGGTTCTAATACTGGCTAACCTATTTTCAGTGCTCATGTTGTGCCAGGCACTGTGCCCATGGTCCTAATCACTACTGTACTGCTTTATGGGAATTAACGTCCCATTGGACAGATTAGGAAACAGAATCAAAGATTTTAAAGTACTTAGCTTAACTGTGACCCACCTGGGACTAGAATCTGGGGTTCCTGATTCCTTGTCTAGTCTTTGCAGCCCTAGATTTGGTCTTGGTTTGTGGCAGGAGGAGTAGGGAGCAAAGAGTCCAAAGGAGAAAGAAGTGGACCCCTCTCTAGTTGTACTCACCATGCGCTGGCGCCTTTGCCTTCTTCGAAGTCGCATGAATTCCTTATGCTGACGGGAGACAAAATTGACAGCAGCATACTCCAGCAGGGCAGCGAACACAAACAGCAGGCACACAGCCATCCAGATGTCGATTGCCTTCACATAGGACACCTATGACATCCACCAACAGAGCAGTCAGCCTTCTAGGAGTCCTCCCATGGCCTATCTAGTGGATTTCCACCCCACATCAATTGCCTGCTGTTCTTCAGTTTTATCCTGAATTTCTTTTGGTTTTTAAAGAAGCTTTCCATGATATGTCCCATTTCCTGAAGGTCCATGTCAAAGAGATTGGGCTACCCATCATCCTTCACCTCTCTGTACTCTCTACCCTCTACTTCCATCCACTTTTTCTTCCTACACTTCTTTTCCTTTCTTATTCTTCTTGTGCTTCTGCTTCTTATTATTCTTTTCCTTCTTATTTTCTTCTGATTCTTTTCTTTCAATAAATGGCAATGAACATGAACATTGTATTTGTTTGTCCTCTGTTATCTCCTAGGGTCCTCGCAGCCATGGTGATAATTGGGCAGGGCCCATGATTCCCATGAGAGACACATGAGGATGCTTAAGGTCCAGAGAGGAAGGGTCTTAGCCAAGATTACCTAGTGAGAAGGTGGGAGTAGGACTTGGGGGTTCTGGGCTTTCAATTCAGTGGCATCGCCATTTACCTAGGCTGCAGTCTCACTGACAAACTAGGAGCTTCTTCCTTTCTTTTCTTCACCTCTGTTTTTCCCTTTACCCTGTGGTTTTTCCTGCTTCTCTTCATGAGAGGCCCTGCTGAGAACATGGGCTCAGTAGTAAGCTGGAGCATCATCTCTCACTCTGGAGAGAAGAATAGGACAGGAATCCTGAGAAGCCACCACTCACCCTTGTAAGGATGCTTCTTTAATTGCATGGCACTGTTGACATCCACCTATCCAGTCCCTGGTGCTCTCCTCTTGCTACTTGCCTTGGCAGACTCTAAGTACTTTTCTCTCCCACTCCCTTGTGAAGGTTGAACCCTGACCTCTGCTGGAACAGGGTTGCAGTTGGGTGGGGCCAGGAGGGGAGACGGAGCTCAGGCTTATGAGATCCTTGCACCTCATGAACCAGATTAACTCCCTATATAGTTTTGAGCTGCTAAGCTCACTCCATAGGGATCCCCAGCAGGAACAGGATTTATGACCGGCAACTTTCACCAGCTTCTGCTATGTTGGGCAGTGAGGGTGCTGCAGACCCCAAGTAAGGAGCAGGTTTCACTGGATAAACCATCTACTTCAGTAGTTCTTAACGGGACAACTTTGCCCTCCCCCCACACCCACCCCCAGGGACATTTGGCAATGTTTGGAGACATTTTTGGTTGCACAATTTTGGGGTGGTGGTAGCTCCTGTCATCTAATGGGTAGAGGCCAGGGATGTTGCTAAACATCTTACAGTACACACCACCCCCAACACACATGCATGTGTGTGCATGTGTGTGCATGTACACAACAATGAGTTATCTGACCCCGAATGATAGTGCCAAGGTTGAGAAACACTGCTCTACCTCTTTTAGGGCAATTCCACTGAGATGGTGATGGTGGATTACTAGGCAATCATGATAAGGCATCACTTTGCCATCTACTAAGAGGGCATCCTATTTCATTCACCATCTCCTAGTCCCACTGAGCCCTCAGGGATATCTAATACCTGCTACAAAAATCAACAATGAGTTAATGAAAAGGGCGGACCATGAAGAGCTTTGGACTATCAAAGGAAAAGACACTTCAAGCATCAGAAATTCTTGTTAATGAGGAGTGTGTCAATAATACATCTTAAAAATCTCTGGAACCCATCCACTCACTATTCTAGCTCATCTGAAGGACTGCAGTAGTTTCCTAAATGGTCTCCTGGCATCCACTCTTGCCATCTCCAATCTGTTCTCCAAACAGCAGCCAAAGTTTTGTTTTCAAAATGTAAATCTGATCATTATCACTCCCCTGCTTACAACCTGTCAGTGGTTCTCCATTACCCTTATGATACAGTTTATACTCCCCTTCCCATGACATCCAGCTTCTGGCTACCTCTTTAGCCTCATCATGCCCCTTGCAATCCATGACCCTGCCATGTTAAACTATTTGAGCAGTTTCCAAAGGAGTCAATCTCCCTTCCCCCTTTCTCTCCTTTATATGGATAACTTTTACTTGTCCTTCAGCTTGCACTTTAAATACTACATTCTCTGGGAGGCCTTCCCTGATCATCCCAGTCTCTGTCAGTTGACCTGCTATATGTGTCCAGGTTACCTATACCTTCTTAGTATCCAACACATACCTGGCCATTCCCTCCACTAGACTATGAGCTCTTCAATGGCAGAGACTGTTTCTATCTTGTTTACTGTTCTTTCCCTAGTGCCTAACTAAGTGCCTGGCACATAGTAAATATTTTTCGAATGAGTGAATGGGTAGATGGTTTAACAATGTGTTTGTCCTTGCAGGCTTCTGCTTGCTGTCTTTGCCCTCCCTGTCTTTGTCCTACCTGCCCAAAGAGCTATGGGCCATTTAAATTACAGGATGTAGAGAGAATTGAGTCCTTCTTCCCTACTGAAACTTTAGATCTAATCAGCCAGTCTCTGATAGAAACTTCAATTTATACTTTATATTCTGCTCTGAGCTACCTGCAGTTGTGGAGATCAAGGGCCTGACAAGGAGACAGTGACCAGTGCCTTCGTAGGGCTCACAAAAGCAAAGAAAGAGTAGCTTTCTGGGAACATGAGGACTGGCCACCCCAGCTGAGTTCCCATACAAAGTAAGCCTCTGCTACTCTCATCTTGGACACATCATATTGGGGAGGGTGATTGTTGTGGCTTTCAGAACCCCCTGGCCTGGCCCCATCTCTTTTTTTGGATCTCCCACCAAACCTAATGTTACACAAACTCAGGAGTGAGCCGAAGCTCCCTGGCTTACTGAATCCCCTTGCTCTGTGGGGCTGGCTAATGAGGCTATTTAGTGTGGGGTGAATGCCTGGGTATCTTGCTTACTGGCCAATGAGGCCATGAAAAAGTCATTAAAATCTGACAAGAAGGCACCAAATGCTGCAAATAAACAACCCTCCAACAAAGTCCGTTTTTTTCCAAATGAGGAAACTAAGTGATTCCTGGAAGTAGATGGATTGTGCTCACTCACAGGAGGGGACCAGAAAAGGAAGTTCTCTTGTCAACAATAATATAAAGGCACAAATTGCAGTATCTTCCTGAGTTAGAGAAGAATCTCCTTGGATGGCAGAGGCAATAAACTAGGGCAGGGCTCTTAGGTCTGAACTACTTTTCTGGCTTTGGTCTCCATACAAGGCCACTACCAAAACACAGCCATCACAGCCTGGCCCTGTAGCCCTTGTCTAAGTGCAGCCTGCCTCTCAGAGTCTCGTCATCTAAGAAACACATTTACAGGAAATGATCCCTAACAACTTCTCCTGGGACACTTGATCCTGATCTGAGCTTTGTCACTGTTTATCCCTAGAGGGCTTTGAACCACCTCAAAGGTTTCCTGGCAGCTCAAAAATAATTGGAGACAACACCAGCTACTTTAGCCCCAGATCTATCACTCAGTTTTTTCAACCCTGACACCTAATAATTATAACAATAGTTTTAACATTTGTTGAGCAGTTATTATGTGCCAAACATTGTCCTGTGTGTTGATACATTATTTTTTACAATAACCCTATGGAAGAGGTAATATTCTTATTCCAATGTTTACAGGTGAGGAGACAGAGGATAAGAAATTTATCTAAGGTCGTGCTATTAGTAAATGATGAGGCTGGGACTTAAACCCAAATCTGCCTGACTTTAATATCCTACTCTTAACCACTATTCCCACCATATAGCATATTCATAAATTCACTATGGATGTCCCAGATTACCCCCTGTTTAAGTCCCCAGTAAAAAGCCTTATTAGGAAAAAGCACTGACAGATGGAAGATTAAAGGGCCTGGTTTCCAACAAATCAGAGCGAGAGGGACTCTGTTCACTGTAAGATCCACAGGAACTGTGTTGCTTTTGCTTCCTGTTATTTTTCCATGACCGAGTACAGTGCCTAGTACATAGTACATGCTCAATAAATATTTATTGAATAAATTATTCAAATAAATTTGGCCTTGCTCCCTGGTTTGTTCAGAGCCTTGCTGACTGTAAGGACTTTGAGGTGACCTCTAAATTCCCTCATGAAGACATGAGGTAGGGAGAACCTGTGTCCAGTCCCATCAGCACAAATCTTTCTGCGTAATCAAAACATCACCAGGCCCCAGATGATCAGAGTCCACTAACTTTAATTGCTATTTGCTACCTCAAAATTTTCTCATCCCAAGAGAATGGAGAGTGTCTCTAAAGTTCTTTAAATAGTATCTGATTTCTGGCATAGTAAGAGAACAGAAGTCAGTTCAAAATCCTAATATTTCTTTGGTTGTTTCTTGTGGGGCATAACCTTGAGAAGTTAATTTTACCTCTCTGGGCTGTATTCTCATCTATATCAAGAGAGAGTGGGACTCTCTACTTGCTAAGGGTCTTTTGATCTCGGACATGCTAGTATTTCCTGATGAAAGTCAAAGTAAGTAAGGCATGGTCTCTGCTCCTTTCCTAGCCAGACAGCATCCCTAACCCCAGCCTCCACATCGTTAGCAATGTTATCTGAAGTGTGTTGTGGGGAAAGAGAGAATGCAAGACACCTGCTCTTGTTCCGTGGCTCTCTTTTCAACCTAAAATCCAAGGTAAATAGTGAT